ACGCTGCGTCGACCTGTCCGTGGCCGCCATTCCAGGACCACCACAGGGCCACGCCATTTGCGGCCCCTTCGGCCGTCTGTTCTGCGGGCGATATGGCCAGCCCATCGCCACTTGAGGTTTGCAATTCTTCGGGCAATGTCGGTTACCTTGGTTCTGCTGCGGATCACATCATTTCTAACGCGATCTCGCAGAGAAACTCCGAGCATTGCCCTCTCCATTGCCCTCTGCGTGACTTTGAGCCGCCTAATGTTGCCCGCAGTGAGGGGCCACGTCTCAGTTCCATAGGACAACACTGGCAACACACACTGCTCAAAAACTTTCGTTTTGAGACACTGCGGGAGGTCTTGGGACGAGAGGATACCCCGCAGCTTCCCGAACGCTGCCCATCCGAGTCGGATTCGGCGATTGACCTCCCTCTCGAAGTTGGACCTACCTAGTTGGATGGTTTGTCCCAGGTAGACATACTCGTCAACAACTTCGAGAGTATGGCCTCCGATGGTTATGGGAGTGGGTGAAACATGAACATTAGACATGACTTTCGTCTTGTCCATGTTCATCCTCAGACCCACTCGTTCGGAGGCTCTATTGAGCTCATCGAGCATTGTACCGAGTCCCTCCATGGTCTCAGCCATGACTACAACGTCATCGGCAAAACGCAGGTGCGTGATGTACTCGCCGTTGATGTTAATGCCTAGTCCTTTCCAGTCGAGGACCTTGAAAACGTCTTCCAACGCCGCGGTGAAGAGTTTCGGGGAGATGACATCACCCTGTCTTACACCGCGCTGCAGATGGATTGGTTTTGTGTCCTCACTCTGTACTCGGACTGACATGGTGGCGTTTTCGTACAAGCACCTTAGCGCTTCGATGTACCGGTAGTCAATTCGGCACCTCTGGAGTGACTGCAGTACCGCCCAGGTCACGACCGAATCGAAGGCTTTCTCGTAGTCCACAAACGCTAAGCATAGTGGCAGGTTATACTCCTCGGTCTTCTGTATTACCTGCCGCAGCGTATGTATGTGGTCTACGGTACTGAAGCCTTTACGGAAACCGGCTTGTTCGGGAGGCTGGAAGTCGTCGAATCTGCGAGCGAGACGGTTCGTGATGACCCTTGAGAACAACTTGTAGACATGGCTCAGAAGTGAGATGGGCCTGTAGTTCTTCAGGAGGGCTTTATCGCCCTTTTTGAAGAACAGTACCACCACACTTCTGCTCCATGCCTTTGGCGTATGTCCCTCGAGAATGACGGAATTAAAGAGCTTCTGAAGAACGTTCAGTGCCGGCTCTCCAGCTGCCCTCAATAGCTCTGCGGTGATTCCGTCATTCCCCGGCGCCTTGTTGTTCTTAAGTTGTTTCAGGGCCATACTAATCTCGTCGAGACTGACGTCCGGGATGTCCTCGGTGTAATGTCGGGTTAATCTGGCTCTGGGATCTTCGACCAGATCTGTGACAGGTTCCTGCGTTGCGTAGAGCTGCCCATAGAACCTCTCAACCTCACTCAAGAGTTCAGGTTTGGAGGACACAACTCTACCCTCTCCAGTCTTCAGCTTCAACAGTTGACTTTGCCCAATAGACAGATCCCGCGAAAACACTTTGGAGCCCTGATTTCGCTCGATAGCCAATTTAACCCGATTGGTATTAAATCGGCGTATGTCGCGCTTTATGCTCGTGGAGATCTGTCTATTTAGCCGTCGATACCGTTCAGCATCATCTGAAGAGTGTAGTTTCATGTCTCGCCTTTCCTTCATGAGTCCGAGAGTGTGGTCTGAGAGTTTCTTGGGCGAGCTTTTACGGTGGCTCTTGTAGAACTTAGAACCCACCGACTGCAAAGCATGCACGAACCCGTCATTCAGATCGTCCACGCTACTTCCCAGGCATTCAAACTGGTTTCGGAGTTCGAGTTGAAAGGTTTCGGCATTGTGGATATGAACGGGCGCTGGCCGGAGTGTAGACTCTATCAGTCGACATCGTTCGAGCTTGACGTCGATATTCAATGTGCCTCGGACAATTCGGTGATCGCTCCCGGTTTTCACCGCGTTGATCACTGAGACATCATTGAATATTTGCTTCTTTGTCGACATGATGAAGTCAATCTCATTTTTGGTAGCACCGTCCGGACTCATCCAGGTCCACTTCCTGTGCCCTTGCTTCTTGAAGAAGGAGTTCATCATGTAGAGTCCTTCCTTCTCCATAAAGCCGGCCAGTAAGTGTCCCCGGTGGTTCCGCCGTCCATATCCAAACTTTCCCATTCGTAGCTCGTCTCCGTCCCGAATGCCCAGTTTCGCGTTGAAGTCCCCCATGACAACGGTGTAGAAGGTTTTGGAACTATGCATGGCTCGTGAGATATCCTCATACATAGTTTCCACCTCATCGTCGGAGTGTGTCGAGGTCGGTGCGTAGACCTGTATAACCTTCAGCGAATACCGTTTGGATATTCTGAGTATCAGGTACGCAACCCTCGTCGACACACTCTCGATCTTCACCACATTGTTCACGAGGGACTTGTGGACGATAAACCCGACACCACCCTGCGACTGTTGGTCGCCCTCCCGGAAGAAGAACAAGTTGCCGGACTTGAGGATTATCGTTTCCTCCCCCTCTCTTCGGACTTCGGATAACCCTATAATGTCCCAACGCAACCTGCTCAATTCTTCTTCCAGCTCCGCGATCCTCTCGTCCGTCCGCAGTGTGCGCGTGTTTAGTGTTGCCAGGGCCAAAGGTCGTCGTGTGTGGTAGCCGTATCCTAACCGGGGATTCTTAGCACCCCCTGCCCCGCCGTTACCCTGGCCGCTACCGTGACCAGGAACTGCGGGGCCGCCGGGTACTGGGGGCCGTACTTTTCTAGTGGCCATCATTTGGGGGGATTTGCCATAATCGCCACGCTTGGCAGGCGGGTTGGCGATCGCAGACTTCTCCACCGTTTTTGAAAGGGACGCTGCTGCCCGTCCTCCGGTGGTCTGGACGCAGTTTAACGACGTACCGGGTCATTAATATAATGGCAATAAAATCAAATTTCCGTTCGCGGAAAATTATTCAGCGATGGGAAAGTTAGATATATTACACATTTATTTCGCTTATACATAAATCTAAGAAACTGATATTTTCTAAAATAAATTATAGTATAAAACAGAATTTAAAGAAAATGTTGTGACAAATGAACAATGAGATAATAAGTAAGCTACTTTGAGTTATTTTAAAATTTATTTACACAATTCTTTTATATCAAGATTTAAAAGGCGATTCATATTTTTCGACGACGATAAAAATAAATAATCTCTGAGGGAAGAGCTAGTTTTAACAAACTTTTATAAAAGGCTGCATTCAAAAATGTAAAAGCAGATTGTTTCTTTTATTTTGCAAAATTCCTTTGCGACCGGCGCCGCTATCGCCGGCGTCTTGCAAACAACTGCCCCTTTTTTACTTTAAGATAAAAAAGAAGCTTGAATGAAGCAATTTAATGAAAACTACAGTACTCTTAAACTAAAACTTTTATAATGAGACAATTTTGAATTTTAGTAGAGTAACCATTTATTGCAAACATTTTAAAAACATTAAATAAAATTTGAACGCATATTTTCAGGTTTGAGATTTCGAAGAATTTATGGCCTCTTTACTTAGTTAAATAGTTGCTGATTATTAAGGTGAAAATGTACATGCTAGCTAAATGGGGTAGTAACTGGCAAGTCAACTATTGGCACTTGCTTTTGGCTAAATGCTTTTGTACTTACCAGTAAAATAGCAACGATATTGTATGAGACAGGATGACTCGGTATTAAGCTAGCAAGCGCTACCTGCGCATCCTGCGCATGCCAGTGGCTGTACTGGCTAGTGTAACGTCTGCTTTACTCTGCAGTTTATGATGTCACACTAGTAAAAGCTCGAGTCGAATTCGAAATTCGTAAATGTTTACGTTTACTCAAAGTCTCATTACAAAGTCATATTTAATAAAGTTGTAAATGTAAATAATAAAATAATGTTATAAAGCCAGCTTTCTTTGCCTTAAGAATAAAAAGCTTTATAAGAACGTAAAGTCATCATTGTTTATGATTGAACAAGTTAAAGTGCTTTAAAAATAAATATCCATTACTTAGTAATTGAATCAGAAATGCGAAGTCGCGTTGACTGGTACCACTTAGGAATTTTCCTTTGCTAACATGCTCAGAATTATAATGTTACGTTGAAAAGAAGAAAGTTAATGGAAATCATAAAAGTGACAAGTTATTCAGTCGTCGTTTCAGCTACGTTACTTATTTTGCGCAAAAATAAAGTGGACATGGCAAATCACTTAGCGCTAATCGTTGAAGCGTCAGCGCTATTAAAAGGTTAATGGATTTAGAGTAATCGCGACAACGAAAACTCGTTACCGGAGAGAAATTTTGGAGAGTCCTCGAGTAGCGAGCTTTGAGCACGTTCAGGCTCTCACCGGCGGCCAAGAGCCGCCCGTCGCCCGCCGCCCTCCGTCCGCCGCTCCTACAATGCTACACCCGAAGTGGTTGTTATCTACAAGCATCTACGTATTGGGATTGACACTTGTCGCTGCTTCTTATCTCATTACGATCCAACATACTTTCGAGTATACAACATACTGTACAAAAGCAAGTGTTGTTGTTGCAGTAAATTTAAAAATTTGTTGCAATAAATTTAAAAATTTACTGACACAAGAAGAGAATATAGTATGTAAGTTAGGAATAATAAGATTTATTGCATTAAGAAAGTTGATACTACTGTTCGGAACTTACAATACTACTCGTACTAACAATCAAGAGTGAATACCACATGTGGTTTTATTTGACATTTTGCGTTCTATTTCCTTTTTAGTTTTTTCCCTTTTCTTAATAAATTTATTTTTGTTACATATACATATTACTGTGCCGACCCTCCATAAGGGATAAGGGCAAGTGGATGATGATGATGATGACATGTACCGAGTCGTTTGACGTTTCTTTTATGCATTAATAGTTTAATAGTCGAATGAATTGTAATTTTTTGTTGTTTTGTTTCAGGTCATTACCCAAATTATACAATCCGGAGGAGGAACAGAATCGACCACCCCAAGGGGGAGTGGTGACGTTCGAACCAATCCAGCACGATCACGACTATTGCGAGCGGGTCGTTATAAACGTAAGTTCTAATTTTAATATTTTACCATTACATATCCAGGCCAATTTAAAAAAGAAATAGAACCATAATCGATAAACTAAACGGGTTACTGGCAAACAATGCCAGTATGATCAGTACGTATGGTTTACTAGTGTAGATTACCTACTTAATTTCACTTTTAAAGATTCTGAGTCCTCTGGTAGCACACCTTGCATGTGAAAAATATGATTGACAGACATGCAATGTATATGAGACAATCGAAATAGCTATCGCTAGGGCAACTCATAAATAGCACCAATTAAGTTTGTCAGTTCGTATACGAAGTATTTAAAGCGAAGGTGTTTACTCGTTGCATTTGCCAACTGTTAAAGTATCTCAGAGTTACCATTCATGGATGAGGCATGTTCAGAAGGTAACCGAATATCACATTGTTTGATGGAAGTTATCGACGCTTCTTGTAATAGTTACGCTAAGTTATTTAGATAGTACAATGCACGGAGGTGTGGTGGTATTTGTAGGTACTGTAACTTCTGATTTGTTGACAATTTAATGTTAAGCTAAAATGAGTAAGACATAAAGTAGTACATGTAATAATATTCAAGGCGGCGTGGCCAGGTAGTAAATAGCATAACACGTTTATTAGCTGTTTAACTCATAGTAGGGGCATGTAGCGCGTCCGAACTTTACAAGATCCGTTGTAAAGTCATAACCATAAATTCGGAGCGGTTTCATTTCACGCTTCTTGCAAATTGCATTGAACTAGTGTTGGGCGCAAGCACGACGCGACCGTTATACAGGCCACACACGTTGGGGTTTCCATGCGCATCAAACCTAACATTTATGTAAGATAAAATCATTACATAAAACCTAAGGTGTGTGGCCAACATTACTGTACAAACGCAATCTTTTGACGTGACATGGAATCGAAAATTATGATTTAATAAATCTTTCTATAAAGATTAGTTCTTTAATTTTCTTTTTTATAATTGATTAGACTCAGATTAAAAAACTTTGTAAAACATCATTTGGGTAGTCTATTTTTTTAAAAAAATTGCATTATTTCTGAGTTATTAAAAAGTTATTCGGATTACTTCAAACGATTCATCCTCACATATTTTAAATCGAAGAATTTGATTTTAAAAACATCGTACTCGTAAATGAAATAAGTGTAAACAAATTTTGAATTTAATGTTTATAACGTGCATCCGTAACTGTCGAATTAATGTTTTATTATAAAGAAAAGATTTCGTTTGTGTGATAAATAAAGTAAACGATTGACTTAAAATTGTCTGCAATTTTATTGACAGACTCGAACAAAGTCGTGGCCATGTAAGTATGTGATAGCAGTAAGTTCATAATTTACACAATTGTAGAGAGCGTATGCGATATGAGGCTAATGGTCGAGGGCAAGGCCAACGTATACACTAGGAAGAAGAGAAGTAGTTTCAAACCGGTGATGGAAGCAGGAGCGAACGAAACAGAGTACACGTGCGGTCGCGAGACGAAGCGATTGTGTGCGTAATGGCGTGCGAGCCACGTTACGATGTGTCGGCATGCGTACACGTCTTTCCACGGAGCGTAATAAAACTTTAAAGGCAGGAACCATTCGCGGTCGGATTTACGGCGTCATGCTCCTGCTATAGCTATATTAATGTAAATCAATGTTTGTATGTTGGTCCGCTGTGCGATGTTGCAAAGATTTTAATGATGTTCTGATATTCTAAAGCGAACTTGATTCTTGCCACGTACGAGTACAATTAAAAAATAAGAATTTAAGTATCTGATATTTAATGTTACGTTTTACCTGTGGTACGGTACTTGATATTATTTTAATATAGATTATTAAATCTTTTCTTAAAATCGTTGATTAGTTGATCGGCGTTCGATGTTCGGGTGCACTACACACCTCGGCCGCCCTTGGTGAACGCACAATAAAATGTATTTTTGGAGCGATCCATTGCCAACCGCAGAGCAACATCCGCGCCGAAAGAAATTGACCGAGCACCACCGCTGCTCATGCGGGGTCCTAAATTTAATTTATTCATCGGTCGCAGGCTTTTGACTCTCCAGTAGTTGTAATAACAAAGCTTAGACAAACTGCTGATTCAGATTATAACCTTTAGCTGCAAATTAAGATTTATCGTATTACAATTTAAATTAAATTGTAAGAAATAGATATTTTATTGAGTAATGCGGCAGATATAAAATATTAAGTGAAATGTACAAAATTCGCACTGACGCAATAGTGGAAAATGAACCCGAGATTCAACACTATTTTTCGACGTCATCTAACTAGGTCAGGTATCGCAAATGTTTTATAGTATACGTAGCCGCTTACCGCGCTTTCGCTTCATCGTCGTCCTTTCTAGAAACACTAATTTAATCAACAACTATTACATTTTTTTATTACTAAGCTCATACAAGTTAACCAGAGAAATGCTTTGATAATTTATGTTAATAAGTTGGAACATTCTCTCAGCACTTGACGTGATTAAGTTCGGTCCTCTAGTTACATTCGCGCTCCTTGAAAATACAAGAAATGGTCAATCAATAAATGGAAACCTTCGCGTGTGAACGTCAAACAAGCTATTTCTAGTGCAACAAACTTTGTCATGACGTACCATTTTTCAACACTTTGAACTTCAAAATTGGAAGGCCTTATTAATTACACCAATTTTTTTTGTAATTTAGAGCTGCAGCTCGAAATAATTGCCAGTATGCTTCGTATAGGTTACGAAAGCATTTATTACTTAAACTTCAGCCAGTTTGAAAATGAGAGACGTTTCAAGGCTATTGTGTGGTTTATGTTTTGAAAATTTAATGAATCGCTTATAATTCAAAGAAATTCATATTTACGGATATTCATTGGTAAATGCTTTACGACTAATTAAATAGTTAAACTGAGGAGACGCTGAATTGTTTTATTTTAGATTTCAGTTTACAAATCAACAGTAATGAGAGAGAAATTGAGAGTTGGAGAAAATAAATTAGAAGTCACTTGATTAGAAGAAAGTTTCGTAGTTATGGATTTGCTTGTGGCAATAATCATATTTGAATTGTTTTTGTTTCTAGAAGACGAAGCTATCTTTCTATCTGATTCCCAGCCAACAAATTTCAACGAGTTTCCGTTTTTACATTCTTCCGCGCAAAAAGGAATTGCTAAAATTAGTATGTAGTCTTATGCTGTGCGTTACATAAACATCCAATAAACAAGATCATAACCGAGTAACTTGATTAACGTGTATTTGTCCGCGAATAAATTAAATATTTGTAAAGACTTAATTTTACATCGACTTCTATCTTAAAAGTGGATTTAACTATATATGATTATATCGAAAGCAGTGCGAACACATAGAGCAATTATGTTTTTTTGTGTAATGGTGACGTATGTGCCATTAGTGAATGAGTGTTCCACCGCCCTCGGCGCCACCTGTTGCCACTCGGCCCTGACTCGGAGTCATGAAGAATTTATTGTCGGCCGGTGGCCGTTGCATGTGGCTCCTCGTATTTCTCCGCCGCCTCTATAAATCGTGCTAAAAAGCAATAGCTTTGTTTTACATTACCGTACTTTTCCTTGTGTTTACTTTTCATCGCTAGTATTTTCTAAAGGTCGTTAGCATATGTGAAATCCATTTCCTATACTTTTTTTTCATCCTCATCTTTCGCGGGTAACTATTTTTGTAATTTGACGAGTGCCTCACCGACGCTTGCTGGTCGGCGTTTTAGATCGCGGTTGAACTTTTGCCAATCATATATCACAAAACCTGACTGCAAAAATGATTGTTTCTTTTTTTTTCTAATGAAAATTGTAAGTAAATCAAAGAATAAATACTAACGTTTTATAATCAGTTGACTACCATAAACGCTGAACATCTTTGGTATGTCCCAAGTGTAATCATAACTCATATCCTTGTACCGTAAATCGGTCCACACGAATTCACGGTCACAACAGAAAATATATATATGAAATTTGTACCGGAAATTTTCACATCACTGTCAGAAGAAATTAAATTAATATACTTACTGTGAGGACTTTAAACTAATTCCCTACTTGAAATGCTGTAAAGCTTTCTGAGAGGCTTGACATGAGTATACCACTTTAGCCAAGCTGCCGTTCTGAGTTGACATTACGGTCGCTTAACTTGAATAGGCATGGCGACTTCGGTAGCTCGTTAGTGTAGCGTAGCTCTGCGCGCAGTCTCGGCCTCCTAAATGTCTTAACGCGTCGATGAATGGCCATCACTGTGCGTAGTAAAACGCTACCACTATCAACAAGAAAAACTTATACGAATTGTATGTTCACTGTTTTACTTTGTTGAGAAACGTTAGATATGTTTTTATACAATTATTTATAACGTAAGGAGATTAAATCATCCAATACGAATACAACTCATTGCTATTTCATTTACCGACTGAAGTATTCTTTTATTCGTAAAGCCATTAAATCAAAAGGCTTTGATTTAAACAGTTTTGTTTAATAACTATAAAATAAAATTTAAAACGGACTTGTTAGCTTAACTTGCTTTGAAACCCGTATGGTATGTGCCATGAATTACTTACTATTCCAATAGTATAATTACTAGTCAGGGTTCCATATAGTCTCTAATGTTTAACAGACATTCGACATTAGAACCAACATACGTTTTCTGTTTCAATAATACAGTTTCTTGATTATGACGCACAATATCAAATTATCAAGGCCTATTTCTATGGTTTATTCGTATTAAAACGTCAATCAAAATGTTTGAAAGAAGATAAAAAAGATATGGACATCTAGTGCCAGAAATTTTTAATCAAACGTTGGGTTATTCAGCTGCGGCTGGCATGAGAAACGGCGCAAAATAATGTTAATGCGCTACGCTGACAGGTGACAAGTCACAACGCACAGGCGCGCCGACGCGAACGATTCTATCATAGTTGTTAAAAACATCTCCAAGGCCGGCCACTGCGCCGCTTAACATGTTATATTGACTTGCCTATTTGACTAATACATCGGCGTATCCACAACCAATCGGTTCGAGTTTATTCAGAATTTTCTATTAAAAGTCCATTATTTTTTTTATTTATATTTACATGTGTGTTTTAAATGAAAAGCAATTAGATCTCTGAGGAATTAATTCTGCATACTAAAATAAATAGTGCGAGATTACATATTTTTTACAATTCTTCGCAGGTAAGCGGACTTAAGTTCGAAACCCAACTACGCACCCTCAACCAATTCCCTGAAACTCTTCTCGGCGACCCTACACGACGCATACGCTATTTTGATCCTTTAAGGTAAGTCACAAGTCATGTTTGCGATATTTTACTAGAAAAAATTGTTTATACAATAAATATAGTTGTTACTATCAACAAACAATATTTGCATTGTTCCAGGAACGAATACTTCTTCGACAGAAACAGACCATCTTTCGACGCCATTCTGTATTACTACCAAAGCGGAGGTCGCTTGCGACGCCCCGTAAATGTACCTCTTGACGTGTTCTCTGAAGAAATCAAATTCTACGAACTTGGTGAACAAGCTACCAACAAATTCCGGTAAAATTCTTTATTAACAAACTCTGACTAATGCAACACATTAAAAGTTCTTAAACACGATTTAAATTTGGTTTGTGCATTCTAGGGAGGACGAAGGATTCATCAAGGAGGAGGAGAAGCCCCTGCCCGCCAATGAGCGCCAGCGCAAAATCTGGCTGCTCTTTGAGTACCCCGAGAGCTCCCAGGCGGCGCGAGTTGTGGCCATCATCTCCGTTTTCGTAATCCTACTCTCCATTGTCATCTTCTGCCTGGAGACCCTGCCGGAGTTCAAGCACTACAAAGTTTTCAACACCACCACCAACGGCACCAAGATCGAAGAGGACGAAGTGCCCGATATCACCGATCCCTTCTTCCTCATCGAGACCTTGTGCATAATTTGGTTTACATTCGAGTTGATAGTGCGCTTCCTAGCTTGTCCGAACAAATTTAATTTCTTCAGAGACGTCATGAATATAATAGATATCATTGCTATTATTCCCTACTTCATCACCCTTGCTACTGTCGTTGCCGAAGAAGAGGACACCTTAAACTTGCCACGCGCGCCCGTCTCACCACAAGACAAGTCCACCAACCAAGCTATGAGTCTCGCCATACTCCGTGTGATTCGCCTGGTGCGAGTCTTCAGGATCTTTAAACTGTCTCGCCACTCCAAGGGTCTTCAGATCCTTGGACGTACTCTCAAGGCATCTATGCGGGAACTCGGACTTCTAATATTCTTCTTGTTCATCGGTAAGTACAGAAAATACGTTAACGCTACATTCCAGTAGTCAATATGGGATACATTGAAAAAACCTCTTTTTTAACCAAATACAACTATATGTATAAAAGTTAATCGCATAAGATAATTCTTTTTATTATGATAACCGAACATTACTTTGGTAGTTGTGTGTTAAAAAAATCACGGAACGCTACACGACACGCAATATGTAAGTTTATTACAACTCTAGTAAAAATAGAAATAGGCCAATCATAAAAAATCGTGAATCGTTTGTTCGTCAACAGCTATTCAATCGTGTTAAGGTACATCTCATCATAAATTTATTCAAATTTATCAACATATACACAATTAAAACAAAGTTACTTTGCTGGGAAAAGCAAAGACTATTGATCACTTTTGATTTTGTATAAATAGCAGCAGCATATACGCTCCAATGGAAAAAATAAAACATAAAACCATATCTTAAAATACCACCTACGCCATTTTAATTAAAGGTATTTCACACGTTACGATTGGAATCATAACACCAGTTAAACTAATGAAGGATCCACAGAGAAGACAACGGTGCGGGGCGAGGCGGCTGACATCCACAAGGCGCTGCGGGGTACATTACGTACATTACGCGCAACGTGCTTTATTTTTTCAGGGGTGGTTGTGTTCAGCAGTGCCGTATTTTTCGCGGACAAAGACTGCCCCGATACAAACTTTTCCTCAATCCCCGATGCCTTTTGGTGGGCAGTAATAACGATGACCACCGTCGGCTATGGCGATATGAGGTAACCGGCGCGCGACCACCCCGCGCCCGTCGCAATCGCTCCCCTCCATCGTATCTCCCTCTGTATTCTCCGTTGATGTGCTTGTTCTTAAAGGTGTGGTGCTGTTTTCCTCCGCGGTGTACTTCGCTGAAGCCGGAAGCGAGAACAGCTTCTTCAAATCCATACCAGATGCGTTTTGGTGGGCGGTGGTGACTATGACGACCGTAGGATACGGAGACATGACGTATGATTCACCGACTTTACCCCAAATTTCATAACCGCCTTCTCGTCATTTCATTTTATCCTACAATTTTCCATCGGCATTTTAACACGGTTCTTATTTTCTTTTCGCCATTTCGTGTAACTCCATTTGCTTTAATTTAATTTACTCGTCGGTTCGCTTAGAACTTACTGTTACATCTTATTTACACTCTTTTACGAAATTATTGCACGTTTACAAATGATTGTTATTGTCTTGTTATTTGTTTTATTTCTATCTTTTTATATCATCCTTTCGAAACCACATTCAATTTTACATGGAAGCAGTATTGTAAAAGTTTACGGTGATAAATAGATAACTCTGGTTGCCTTAAAAATTCACCAATTGTCGTCGGTGTGACAATCGCCCTTTCCAAAGCGTATTTGAGCAAATATGAATAGCTTTAAATGTTTTAAGCACACTTTAACTGCGATTGTCCTTTTTTAAAATCAGATCTAAAGCTGATGGGGAGAATCGAGTTGAGGTGGCCCTGTCGATGTATCTCAAGGAATGTTCCTTTTGTGTTTGTAATTGTAATCCTCTGTTATGCTTTTGCTACGATTTATGTACGTGTTTCCACCCATGTTATAGTTGTTGTAAATGTTAAACTGGTAGCTTATCGAAAATGGTGACCATAATTTCTATGTGCTCCAGATATAATTTCAAATTAAACATTTGAACTTATTTTGCTTGCATCAACTTTTTGTACTCCGTGATCTGTACATTGTTCCAACTGTTTGTTTCTGTCTTTTTTGATTTGGAATGCCCTGTCAGAACCTCTGCCGACCTAGTTATTTGGATCTATGGTAAATTTTACACGATCATGCTACTATGTAAAATTGATGTTCTATTTTTATCACTGCTTGTTCCTCGTTGCATCTCGATCACTTGCTTACACCATTTTCGATAGATAAATAATTTCAATCCTATGTTGTTACCATATTAGTGGAGAGGTGGTGCATGATTAGGTTTAATAGTTTAAATCGTATTTTCTTCGATAATATTACTTAAGTCTTGTCACAAGTTACATGACTAGCGTGGTTCGCGTTTCCGGAATAAGAGGCGAAATTTTGATGTTTACAATAGTGTTTCGCTGCTCATGTGTTGTGACAATGACTTCTTCTATAAGTATAACAGCAGTGCTAGCGTTAAACTCAATTGCAGAGCGATAAGGTTATAAAGTTACATCCCATGTAACATGCTGGCGTGTGTGAAAGATGATGTATGATATTGTATTGCTTGCGATAAAACGCGAATGGTCAACATAGATTTTTTTTCATATTGTACATTGCTGTTACGAATCCGATAAACTTTATTAAAATGAAGGAATGAAAAGGGAGGACGATAAAGGTATGTACGATCGGAAAGCATGTTCATCCCAGAAGGATTTAACCCCCATTCGCAATTAATATTCTCAGAGAAAAGCTTATTGATTGCACAATTCCCATAGTACATAAGACGATAAATTACCAAATTTACAATATTTTTTATTATACCAGGCCTGTTGGCGTGTGGGGCAAGATCGTGGGGTCGCTGTGTGCGATCGCTGGCGTACTCACTATTGCGCTGCCCGTTCCAGTCATCGTGTCCAACTTCAATTACTTCTATCATCGGGAGACTGATCAGGAGGAGATGCAGTCACAAAACTTCAACCATGTCACCAGCTGCCCCTATTTGCCTGGTACTATGGGGGAGCCTTACCTGAGTACGTATATACGTCATAAACATTATGATGCTGAATTCCTTTGCATCGAAAAGAATTTCGTCTGTTTCATATGTGTACCTACACTAAGTTGGCAAATATTGCAATAAATGTGCTTATTAATTGGCATTATTTGATTTAATTTTTTAAACTTTGTTAGAAGTAATTTTGATTCAAGTTCACACTTTTTTAGTATTGTTCCTAATTTATTGTTTCTAGAGTAAAGTTTTATTTAATAATACCTGTATAATGCTTATTATTTCAGTTTGCATGTTTAGTTTTTTTCTTTTACGTTTACTTTTTTTGGGTAATTTCAGGTGGGAAGGATGAAGACCAGGATGAAGTGTACTGTGATCATTGACTATATGCCAGTGTCGTTCTGTTACTTAGTAATGCGGACTTAAACTAATCGACAGAGACGATCATTGTGATATTATGGTTTAAGAAGCAAAATAGTGCAGTTTTGATGTAAATAGTAGTTTAAGTAATGTAAAAATGAGTCAATTCTGTTAATTGATTGCTGTCTTGTTGGATATTTGGCCAACTGTAGAAGCGGTTTGTTTACGTTATCGGGTAATATTTAACATTTGCTCTATGATTGACCAGTGATATGATACTTGACGTCAAGTGTATGCATAAGTTTAGTTCGAGTGTCGCTTTACCTGACAATTTCCACGTGTGTTCCATTCGGTTTTTATTCTGTAAATATTATGTATATCTCTATTCGAACCCCATATTTGCTTCTGGTTTGACTTTTATTTTCTTCGATAAAATAAAAGATGCAACTTAAAGCAGCATTCCTCAAAGAATGTTATTTGTTTAATTTTAAACTTTTATCAAAACCCACATTTAAATTGATTGCACATTTAAAAAGGATGCTTTAAAAATAGCTAGATATATAATATATTCAGTTCCTTGCAAAGTTAATTTTGATAAATGAGACTAAGATAAGAAGTAGTATCAATTTTAAAGATTAATAAACAAGTTTTTATTTTTGCTAATGAATTACATTTTTGATGTAGCTATTTTTTAGAGTTACGGTCGAAAAATGTAACATAATTTTAAATAAGATTTGTTATTGAAACATTTCTGAGAGGTAATTGAAAAGTGAAATGCGGATAAAACCTTATGAAATGAAACCCAACATGTAATATTTAACGCCTTGCGACACGGTCGCTCGTGTAAAGTGAAGCCTTTCAAACGTTCTAAAGGCTTTATTTAAATCTACGAACTCCTGCAGAGTTACGTAATAGGGGATGAAACACTTTCTTACATTGAGGCCGGTATTACGTGTAACGGATGTATGCTATGAATTATTTCCGGTTGCAAATGTTAACGAGGCAACTGTTGGTCATCATCAGGTCAGCATGGGAAGTTCTCTTTATTCCTTGGTTTATTTCCATAAATGCAAATTAACGTATGCCTCTTTATTTTTTTTTTATTTCTTTTAGCGTTTTTCTACCATCATTGCACTTGGAGATTTGTAAGTAATTCACAATATTCTTTTAATTTCTTGTATATTTTTTTATTGTTCAATGTCGATGTTAGCTTTAATAGCTTTAAATAAAAATCACCTTTATAGTATAATAAGTTAATGAAAAAAACGTTTGAAGCGATGCGATAGCGAATGTAAATTGTTGTATGTTACAACTTACAATAATTTGATATGCCTCATATGGATCGCACGTTTTTTTACTTGGATTTAATATTTGCGTTTAGTATTAATTCTTCTTTGTGTTATTGCAATCTGTAAGTTCGCTGTCACATCGTAGTTGGCTCTCTGTAGCGCTGTTGTGAGGCTACATGTTGGTGGGGCGTGTAGTTTCAGGCCCGATCCAAAAGAAGTCCTCGGTGAGTGACGAATCATCTTCGGACACGATGGAGCTGGACGAGAGCGCGCTGGTGGCGGACTCGCAGCTGGAGGAGAACCTGACGCGGCTGCGTGAGGAGGAGCGCCTGTTGCTCGAGCAGCAAGCCGCCATGGAGGCCGGCAACACTGACGACATCGCTGCCCTCGAAAACCAGGACGCTCTTCGCTATAACCAGGTAATACATACACTTTTAATTATGTCAAGTTTGGGCTGTATCATATTTATCAAAATTTTCACAATGCACAGTCAGACAGTCAGCAGTCAGTTCGCTTAAATAAATATTCAAAACATGACTTAAAATGAAGTACTTCGGATTAGGATTTAGGTAAAATATATCAAAGCTGTAATTTAAGTTAATAATAACAACATACACATAAAGTAATTCTATAAGTTACTAATATATTTGTATCTTTATAGCTGCAACAGCTGCAAGTACAGAAACAGCAGAAGGCGCAGGCGCAGTGGCTGGCGCGGCAGCAGTCGCAGGCGCAAGGTCAGGCTGCGGGCCAGTCTTCGGGCCAGGCTGCGGGTCAGGCGCAGGCTCAGGCACCTGAGCGCTCGCTCGGCGCCAGGCCCCGCGACAACCGTGACACCCGCGACACTCGCGACATATGCGAGTACCGCGAGTGCCGCGAGCTGCGCGAGGGCCCGCGCCGCCGCGCTGCGTGCAATGTGCGCGTCAACAACCTGCACTCCGCCTCTGCTGCCCCCGACGCCATCGAGACAGATGTCTGACCATTAGGTAAGCAGACACCCTACACACACTTACATTATCAATCATAGAACGCGAAGTTATCACATATCACAAGCTAATCTCAAATCAAATACGTTTGCAACTAATATACTTATTTCAGGAATATCCAGGGTATATTTATTTAACATAATACACCTCCACAGCAAAAGTCGTTACTTAATTCCTACCATTAGATTTTATTTTTATTTATCCACTCAAGTTCAGGTACATTTCTAAAATCTTCGGCAACTGCACAGACTAGTGTTATCATACGAACAACCTCCATTCATACCGGAACACAGCTTTTGATCGCTGTCTTAAATGAAACCTGATCCAGCAATTCATCTAAGCTGGCCATCTTCGCAACATTTCTAGCCGGGTACCTTCATTGTATGTTAAGTTGCTACCAAGTCGATCATCAAGGTAATCTGTTACACGTATTTCATATTATTTAAGAAGATTGGTACCATGAACATTCACTTATTTTCCTGATGCACAAAAGCGTCAATCAAAATAACATCGATTCCATTTCTATAGTTTGATTTACAGAGAAGTTGGCCTATTTTAAAGTAGTAGACGTAAATTGGTTAATGAAGTTTAAGTAAAAGCATTTAATTATTATAGTATAACGAAAATGAGGATTCACTAGACTTTTCTAATAATTTACCGTGGTATCATTTCGAATCATTTGTTAATACATGTTCCCAATATTAATGCATTTTTATTTGTTTATTAGTTTCTGTTCAAATACATCATTACTCGGGACATTAGAGGAGTAAGTCAAAAAGATTATTAAGAATGCATGTCCCCTTGTGGTGTCGTTTCACATAGATCCATAGAACATGACTGCTGTGATTTTTGTGAAACGTCAGGCGCGAGAGCCGCCCGCCTCTCTGACAAAATTATGTAATTTACGACGACTGAACAATCTAGTCAGCACAATCAATTGGCAAACAAAGACGACCGGGCCCGCGAGCTCTCGTACGATCCTGACCTAATCTCAATGTTGTCCGAATAACTTATGAATTAGTGTGTCCTTCAGTAAACTCTTTAATATTCCTGTCATGAAAACGTCTATTGAAACTTATCATTGGTTAATGGGAACTAGGAAATCGTTAGCATATCGATAGCTTTAAAACTATTAGCAATTTTGTATTCAATTGTTTGTATGTGTAATAAAATAGACGTTTTCATCAATACTAATAGTTACAAACCTCCGACGAAACAAACGTTATTACAGTTAATTGGTTATTTATATTCGTTAAAATCTACCTTTTGAATAGATAGAAACAATTATTAAATGATTTCAATCGTCGGAGGTTGATACTCTATATAAAATTTTCGATGTGTCTTTTCTTGATGTTACCTGGTCGTTGAACCTTTAGCCATTGTGTGCCCGTCCTATTCACAATACATCCACAAATGCTCAAATCGAAGAATAACATTGACATTTTCACGTTACCAGAATTGGCAATATCTCGTTTATTTATCAAAATTTTATTCTTTCCAAAATTTAAATTGATAACTTTTCGATAAGTTGAAATTGATACTGGTCGTAAAAAGGCGATCCATCCGTATGGAGGGTAGCCTTTGGCAACATCACCGTTTGGCAATTGGTCTCCAACTGAACCACTTCAAGCAGGAACTTTGTGTCTATCTGATAACAGAAGCATGCACCCGGAAACTCGCATGATTTATATTTAGTTAATCACAGGCTCTTAGAGGTACGTCTATGCTTGCGTGTTAATCGAGTTCGACAGAATTATAATAACTACAAAAATAATTAAAGTATCTTCTTGTATCTATGGTATACGAGATCAATTTAAACTTGCATATAGAAACATGTATAAAATGAAAAGCCTAACATTCTTCTAAAAAGTAGAAAAGACAAACAAGGGCTACTGAACACGAATAGCTCCAAGCAGTCTAGAGTGACAACTCCGAGCAGTCGGCGTGCTGCCGGCAACATTTTTTACCAGCGACAATGCAGCCGACAGCACACCAACAGCTTGACGTTGTTCGTGTAAGGCCGCGGTGAGAATTCTGTCGTACTCGAAATAGTAAAAATAAGTAATCTATGGCGTACCAACTGATGTGATCGTTGTACCGTCCTTCGTCCTACGTCCGCTGCCGCGTGTGGATGTGGCAGGCTGCGCATGGCTTGCGTCCCCGCTCCGTGTCTCTCCCGCCCGTGTAGTCTATGTATGGTTGTTGTTGATCTATTGGTATTTGTTGCAACGCATTACATCCTATGTTTAGTAATTGTTCTCTATGTACAAAAACAATTTAGAAAGGAAAAAGCATAAATATGTGTATCCTACCTTGTCACAGTAGACTAAACTAAATTGTAAATTATCACAAGTATCATATAAATTGATATTCAATATAATTTATTCAAACAAAATAATATTATTCATAATGCAATTTCAATTCACGTTATATTAAATTATCAGTCTAGCAATAATAATTACAATTGACCTAATAAACACCTAATGAAATAATAGAAAGCGGTGTTTAGTCTGTCTGGTTTCCATAAGATAGTTTTACGTATGCAGGAGCAGGCAGAGGGGCCTGCATTTGGAGAGGATATATTGAGAGTGCTACAGCAACGTGCATGATGTGTTCACAGAGAAAGCGGGCCGGCGCGAGGGCGCGCACGAGCTCGTTGAGCTGCAGGAGCCGGCGCTGTCGGTGTGGCGTGGCCGGCTGGCGGCGCGCTCACCCCGCTCCCCGCCCGCCTGCCGTGTCTAAACTCTACGCTGTGGAATACACGTTCGGCACTCGCGAGCGGCTTTCGGCTAAACCGTCAAAAGTGCTGTACCCAATTAACCCGTGAGGCGCGCGTGAATTGGTATACCCAAATATCCAATCAGGCGTGCGTGAGTTGGTGTACCGGGCTAACCCGTCTGACGTGTGTAGGCAGCCGTTTTGTAGCCGCATGTAGCTCGCCCGCTTCCTCGCAGCGCCGTACTAGTCCTCAGTGTACCCGTGAAGTAATGAACATGAACAATGGTTTAAATACATGTCATAAATTATAATCAAATATGATATTAGCGTCAGTGTTTAAAAATACCGTAAAATTTCCTTAAACAGCTTTTCGGCAGATTATAAAAATTGTAAATATATGAATATATATATACTGTCTGCTTATGTATTGCTTTAAAACACTTTCTGCATTTAATCACAAAGGTAAATTTAGAAAAAATCAAACAATGTTAAATGGAAATAGGCCTAGTTTATCATTTGTTCGTAGTTTTCAAAATAATCACATGCAATAGACTAATGTTCAAAATGTAAATGTAGAGTATGGTATATATGTTAAAAGACGCAAGGCTGCGCGACGCAGCGACGATCGCCCCCCGCCGGCAGGCATACTACGCCCTGGCGCGGGCGCGGCGAACCTCTATTACGACAACTTAAACATGGATTAACCTCCACACGCCGATACTAAGAAGAAAAATGCGGCACTGCTAGCGGTACAATATGTCTTGCATATTTTGCAAACAGTACACTAGAATTGTCCTACTGAAATTACAGATACATTTGATTTGCAACATTGCTGAGCGATTATTCATATACAGCACGCGATGCTCTAATTCGCTTATGCGGTTCTTAAAGTACGCCCTACCGATAGGGCCCTACCTGAACCGTACAACTTGTGCGGTAGCTTTCTGTTGCTCAGAATGTTGTTTTAGAATGTATCTGACTTTCAGTTCCGAGCCTGACGCGGTAAGTACCGCATTAAAACATTTACAACGTTACACAGGCTCGGAAAATAAAATCGTAGTTATAAGTTATTTATGTTGTATGTTGTAAAATATCTGTATGTATCAATATTCAGTAATATACACAAAGTTAAATGTAGCAGCCTCGGATCTAGCGCAAGCGCTAGAACTGTTTATAGGTAGTCCGTAAACATCGATGTTGTCCATCAGTTTATAAATCTCTATATGTTAATCATTAAGCAAAGTATGTACGGTTGTGAGTCATCTAGGCCAGCGACAGAATTGAGTAAGACAAGAGATCGCATACTGAAATTAAAAGACTGAAGTAATACTTATGCACAGCTGACGAGTACAGTCGTTGTCAGAAGTGTAAGCGTAGAGAGTGCACGCAATGTCACTGTACTCCCGTGTACTGTGCCACCTTCTCAGTCACCACCACCACCAGTCGAATGCATGTAGAGCTGTCGCTGAGACAAAGAACTGTGTTTATTAACTTTTAAAATTATCTTAGAGACATATCCAGTAAGACGTGATTTTAATGTTATATTTGTTGTTAAATGTTCGGTGTTCTTAGCGTAATATGATTGTGTTTGAAGTCTTGTGCTTTAGCTTTAGCATGCATCACTCGGGGTTTCGACGTGTCAATTCATTACAATGAGGTTCTGAGTGATCGGCTAAAGTTGCAGTGCACGACCTGGAATGACAAATGTTGCGACGGAAAAATATGACGGGAAATTATGTAGGGCTATATACACACAGCATTGCTCAAAACGGATCTTATTGATTATTGATTTATCTTTTATATTTTGTACTTTACCTTGATTGACGTACCTAAATCAAAATACAGACATTAGACCAAATCTTTACCTCGCAAATATTTAAATCAGACTTACTCCGATAGGGATCAATTGTTAAATTTGATCAACCGAGAAATAAAACTTGTCGCCTTTTAGCATCGACGCCGGCATAAGCCGGACACGCTTTATAGCTCCAATTCCAAGCGATTGTCTTTTTGGAAACATTTTTATCATTTTATTAAATAAATAACTTTTTATATTTAAGTGGCATTAACGCGTTAAGTTCATATTTTCGTACACATTTTGCCAACATTGGTTCAAAGGTCCGTCCAACAGCGCACGCATATAGTTTTAAAATCAATATGAACATTGGAAGTATAAACCTTCCGCGCCATTTCATCGCATTGGGGCTTGGCCACCCGAAACCCCGACAGCCGACACTACATTTGCCCTCATAATTGTGACCCGATTTCGTGGAGAGGACTGATCGTAGATTTATTTCAATGTATCAATCGGTGTTAGTTGTTATAATACATTTGAAATAATTGTCATCATATCATTAATACACATTTCATAGCGTATAACATTTAGGTAAAAGACATTATATTTATCTCATATATGTAAATTAGAGTAGGACAGTAGTTACTAATTAATGTAGACTAAATCCTCTTTTCGTTTACGTTTCATGCGGATTCTATTATAAAGTAGAGGAGCATGGCAAAGTAAATAGATGTAACTATATAATGCGTGTCATAACGTTTCCATTATAAGTATGATAACGTCACAAACGATTAAGATACATTATTACGGCCTTCGTCAGGCCGCTCGGACATATTCTGACACCGGGTTGACGAAGGGCAGCGGCATTGGGCAGGGTGTCGTGTAGAGGATGGCAGCGGATGAGCTGCAGCCAACGGTGGCATCCTAAGCCCCAGTTAGCAAGAGGGGTTACTGCCTTGGTGACAAATTATATTGACACTTTTGTCTGCACAGCATTTTAGATACATCTATTTTAATTGCGCAAATATCTTTAAACATTCCTTATTGATTATTGATGTTCAAATATATATGTGTACTTTACTATGTAGTTTAAATGTCAATGGTAATTAATGGTTATTATTGGAAGTAATGCACCTTTTACGTGTGCCCGAAGTTAACGCACTCTAAAGTTGTCTATACAACATATCTTGTCAAACAATAATTACACAGATTCGTTATTATATTACGGCCAGGTAAAATGAGCATTATTTTTTCAGTTACTGATGTTATTGTGGGACAAATAATATCAAAATCCATAAAGCAATATCATATTACAAATGATCTTGAATTTGGTATATTGTTCTCAAACAAGATTGGGCCTTGAGGGGCTCAAATAAGACCCTGCGAGGGTGTATAGGGGACAGTTGATGATGAACCAGTGACATTTTAAAAAGGATCTATTACGAAAATATTGCGATTCTTTGGTATACAATAATGAAACCAAGCGCGTTATTTGTACCACAATAATTATTCAGAAATTGAAATTAGAAACAGGTATCCGAGGCTGTTGCAGTAAACCGTTAATTAATTTGATGTCATATTGTAATCGTAGTGAATTCATGTGGTGTTTGTTGTTTTAAATCAAGTGGGTCCCGATGACTTAGCGACAATGCAACAATCAAACCCTTCTTCAAACCTTTCGAAGTAATTGAACATAGTTGATGTGCATTTACTTAGTAGATTGTTGTCGACAGTTTACATTTTGTTTATTACTTTTGTATTTTCCTAACAATAGGAATACAAACAATTAACGTTTGGTATCTAACATATCGCTACGATGTTAATTAAAAATATCGAGGTCATAAGATCTTGCTGTATAGCAAACACTGAGTAAAAAAAATAGCAAATGCCACTAGATTTCTCAATAAATTTCAATAAAGAGTACGGTTTTGCTTCGGCTTCGATGAAATATACATGAGATATTTAGAATTAATCGTGAATTACTCATGTTGGCCAAAATTTTAGATACGCCGTATACGCGTTTAAGGCGTATTATGATTTTCACTCAGTATTATTAGTTGATATTGCATGAAACTTTACGATTGTCTTAAAAAGGTAAGTCATCAAGGACCCCGTTATAATATTAAACGATCTGTAATTATCACTACACTTGAGGCACATGAAGACGCTGTAAAACATAACAAACATGAAAGATAGAGGCAATCGATTCGTTTGTAGATTTGTTAAATACCTATATAAAGATCCTTGTGCATAGAAATGTCTGACAACTTGCTACGATCAAGTTTCCACAAGTCATGGGATTTCATGTTAAAAGTGTAGTGGGAATTATTAGATTTAGTAATAACAATATATGTAACTGTGTAATCATGTAGCCAGCTAACCTTCTAAGAGAATCTTGTTTTGAGTTTTCATTCTTTACTGTTTCTTTGATAAACTTGCCATTACTTAGTTGTTTACTACATAGTTTATGTTGATGGAAACACATATACTTCTATTCGAGTAATATTTTTTAGTTAGGGTGGAATTGGCAAAAAAATTAATATGTAAAGTCTGACGATATTACTTTTGACTTATCGGCTATATGTAATATGGTCTTTAGGATCAACAGTAACTATGTAAATTTAATTTGTCTCACTATGTATAGTTAGGGGATGTTTGCAGACGTTATTGGCAGATGCTATGTAGCGTACGTATTTCGTGTACTTTGTTTTGTTTGCGAGTGCACACTCGGAGAGCGCAGGGAAGCACGATCGTATGAATTCCGAAACGCAAATGGGATCAGCATCTTACGTTACTCGATTTAATTATCATTAAACAGCTTATATCATAATTCGATTACATTTTTTTAACTATAACTTAAACAGTAAATTACAATAAAAAAAAGCGTCAATTCGCTTTTCTACAAAAAGTTCCGCAAATTTTGACTAACTTTGATAATAGGTATAATTTTTCGTTATCACTTGTCCCCTCTCCGTCCAGGTAAAAGCGTGTTCATAATATATTTGAATATAAACACAAAATTCACTTTTATTCTATTAAGCATCGATTAAGTGATTAAATATATCTTCCTATAATAATAATTAAATTTTAAAGAATGTAAATCTACTTATAATCATTGGAGTTTTTGGCAGTGACGTCATACGGTGCGGCGCGACGAAAGCCGTGCTCGTCTTTGTCATGAAATAATCTTATCCAATTTAATCGTGCTGGATACGCTGAAGTTTTGCTAAAACGAGCTTAGGCATTTGAATTCAAATTAACATATTCGAATTTTAAACAATTTACTTATAATTTAGGATAAAGGGCTGGGGTTCAACGGACCTTTGCCTTCCATCGTCATTATGCGTAATTTTTAAATAAGATTTTCTAATGATAAGAGCTTTTCGAATAGTATACTAAAATATGAGGTCTTATGAAATCACCTAACTTTTGCAGCATGTTTTATTAAACTAATATCCATCCAATATTGATAGATGTTAAATGTATTGGTCGAAGGCGTTTCTAACTCGTATACAATATAATGTCGTATATATTACAAGTTTTTTTTTTATGATGTACTGATCCCATTATTGCGTCAATCTTGCCGATAGACAAACAGTTATAAAAAACTGTACATTACTATAAACGTATTTAAAACAATAAATGAGATCGGCAAGACAAAACAAAGAACGTTAAAAAAACTATACAGGTTTCTGATTACATTTTGAAATGGCGAAGTTAATAACAAATTGAAATGAAAATTCACCAAAGATTCATTTTCACACTAGTCACCTGTGTCAAAAAATATCCTTTGACAAAGTTAATACTTCAAATTGTATTTGATCAAGTCAAAGTGAATCGGAAACTTTATATAGTTTCATCTTAATGTCTTTCGAAATTCATCGAATCGTGTATCCCCGATTTCGTCAAGACATAGCACATGCACTTTGTAATTAATGATCGTAACATAAATTTGTAACGAAACATATAGTTTTAAAATTGATTTGCTTATAAAAATTGTCAAGCAAGGAGCGGCAGTAACCGTGGGTTCCCATTATTGTGACACATGTTAAAATCATAGTTATCCCAGTAATTCTCTTGTGACAAAAGTGACTAGTATATTTCTGTAAAGGTATTTCGACAATGAAACCCAAAGTAATGAGGCACTTCAACACCTTGACAGGATCCCCAATTCTGAATACTTTGTCGGTGACCGCCATTAACAAATGTGCTATACTTGATTAATATCTGAAATCAAAAACATTGAAGAATTGTGGAGAGTAACCAATTTGTCCATTTCGTTATTACGGAAAATGTACCTTTTATGACATCTCCGGTTAATATTAATATCAGACCTTAAAACCCCGTAAAACCTTCACCAACGACCCAATAAAAAATTGGAGGAGCTAAAACAGGTGAATAAAATTGTAGTTGAAGTAATAAATCCGGGGTGCAGATTAACTATTTTGCGATAAGGTCTGTAAATACACCAACGCCTGCTCCTTGCTAATATTCTATTTTATTTCAACATGGTGTAACACGTCACGTAATTTCACTGTACATCCACCAAGTAACCGTTGGTTTCCAATGCCGACACATTCACATAGCAACATATTGTTATCTCTTTCAATATCTCGGGGGAAACTGGGACAATGATATATTCTGTGTGAATGTTTCGGCAATAAAATTCCACGGTTATTAATGTGACGATCAAACATTATAAACAAAATCTGTACTGAATAATTGTGATTATTTTATAAATATAATTTACAGTTTATTATAATTTATATAATTATATTTTGTTTAGGTATATTCGATGCATTACAACACTGAATAACGATAGCTGCAACACTGGCAACTTTTTGATGTGATTTTTGAGCGCCGCCAGTTTTAGATTAAGATCTTGTAAGCGATATCAGGTTGTGATGTACCACTATAACTAATGCTTTTGTCACTTGTACTTCTACACCTGTGACGCTTTAATTTTTATTTAATTTCTCTTTCAAATTGTAAATCAATATTGTAAAATATTTCAATAAAGTGACTTTGATGTTTCATTGTGGGTTTTGTTTCATCTCCTGTAGTTTAGTTAATACCCCAGATTTAACTACGATTTCCACTGACCACTGTCGTAATCGTAACATCTCATTCAAACTCCGAGACTCAAAGATAATGTTATAAAATTAAACAATGTTTTTCGTACAAGAGCAACATTTAGAAGAAAGGAGAATTACAATTTTTATAATATTAAACTAAAAAACTTAATTGCTACATCGATATAATTTGGTAGATGCTCACTAATACAAAATCAAACGTAAAAATTGTGGCTTACGACCACGGAATAGCATTGTAACCATTTGTTAGTTTGCCCTTAACACATTTTGTTCCTTTTACTGAATGTTCCAAGTACGAAACGTTTGAAATATATTAAATGTAAAATATACTAAAATAGTCTTTCCACGGAAATAAACTCTACAACGCTCACAAAATTAGATTATTTGGGAGATGCAAGCGATCTCTTATCAAACAAGAACATTATTGATATTGTTTCGTTTTTCGCTAATACAGCAAGGCAAGAGTGAAAGGGACAGATACAATTCTTCAAGTTCATTTTTGTCTTCAATAAAAGCCACCAATAGGTGGCTCCACTTTCCAAGGCCGATCTACCAAATTATGATCGATGTTTCCTCCCCCATTTTATCTGTAAATTCTAATATGGTAAACTAAAGTGCCTTATAATCTTTGAACTAAAATTCTTAAAGAAAAACGTACAATTTTATTGACATTCTTTTGTATAGTAGAAAAATACACGGTTTTTTATTGTTTTTTTTTTATTTTTTCAAATGTCGATTGACTGGAGACCGTTGTTATAATTTTTGTTTGTACATTCCCTGAGAACAATGCTAGGAAACATTTTAAAAACAAATTTTATACAAATTAAAAAATTTAACCTACGAAAAATATGATGACTGAGAATGATCCGTCTTGTATCACACAATTATTTAATAAAATCACTACTAAATATACTGATTAAACCTAAGTCATCCATTTACAGCGATTTAAAATTATTGTTTTAATTTTAAAAAATAAAATATGGAAGCCCATATGAACAGCCATTAAAAATGTTTAAAAAATAATTGACACCCATTTAAGCTAATCCAATAAAGTAAAACTTTACACAGTATGTAAATGTTTTTTTCATAATCATATTTCTATTTAAAACAGAGAGATTAAAGAATATATATAGAGTAGGCATAGTTGACATTTCACTTGAAACATTTTTCACATAAATCACAAACAAGCAAATAAATAAATAATTCAAGCACTGAGAAATGTCTCGGCTTGTCAAATTTAACATTATTACTGTACAAAGAAGTTACTGATGAAAAATGTTGTTCCCTATGTCTAGTCTATATATTTTTTCAATGTCTTTGATTGATAATAATTGGGTTCGATAATTACATTATCGGTCCCTATACTTTTAGTCAGGTGAAAACGTCAATTAAATTAAACTGTGTATAGTCAGACTAGGATATCTGACCTATTGAGTGAACTAGTCTGTAAGCTGCCGCTAAGATAGTTCTATCAGAAAATATATAAAACTATAGAAAAATGTATAAAAGAGAAAATCGTCACACAAAATCTTTGTGAACATCAATTATGCTCACCGGATCAAATAACTTTGTCGGTCTATATAAGAAATTTATACGTATGATATTATGACGAAATCTAATTTAACATTCATCAAGTCAACAAGTCGCACAATAACAGACATTCCGTTTTTCTCATTTTTTTTTCTTTTTAAGACAAATGCGTGGCATTTATTTTTATACACCAATATTTTACAATATTCTTAAAATATTACAAATTCTGACATTTAAAATACTTCTTTTGTTTTTATTTAACATAGATAAAAATATTGCAAGAAAATTAAACGTTCATAATTCAGATGTAACAAAGAGTTTGTTCAATTTATAATTACTTAAAAGGATCAAAACAGACAAAAATTTTCAAGACAGATTAAAACTGTGATCTGTTTAAAATAGATAATAAAACACAAGATTCAATAATGACAATCATCAAAATACTTGTAATTAAAGATTTTTCTAAATAAAGACAGCTATGCAGTATATAGTTGTTAGTTCAAAACTACACTGCAGTGACTATTATCGTCGCCTCTTTCATTCTCTTTGACAAAATAGAGACAACACTATGTGACTCACAGTAATGAAGAAACAACTCTGTTATCATATAAGTGTTACTTAATCAAATACAGATTTTAAAATATAAAAATATTAAAATACAGTACACAACAATTTTATGTACTATTAAAAAATGTGGCTAAGAACCGTGATTGCATCACATAACCGATAAATTAAAAAGGTTAAAATATATAAAACTCTCTCATAGAAAATGATTTAGGAAGATTTAGCGAAAATAGACATACTAATAATTAAAAATAAAATTTATCTTTACATGTAAACCTCTACACAACTTCAGTTTTAACTAAAAGAGATTTAACTTTAACTGTACAATTCAAATAACAGTTAAGTTTTGTCTACACACACTTTTAACTGTTCAGTTAAAACCGAAGGTTCGTAGCGGGTTTATAAGCCACGAAAGCGAACTGCAAAACGAAACATAGTAACTGCCGCACAGTTCTTCAGTGTAGATTTAGTAACTATTAAACGACTGTGAGCGGCAGTAAAACTAGAAAACGAAAAGCAAAGAATTTGCCAAGTTATTAGATTTCGCGTAGTATTCTAACGAAATTGCAGGCACCGCTTCCGTTTCGGTTCGCTGTCGCGGCTGCAGCTGTAGTTTTCGAATGCAATGATACTTTTATTGAAGAAAGAAAGAAATTAATTTATTCAAAGAAAAAGGAATTCCTTGCGCATGGTTCTACCAAAGCGTCGGTCATTGACATCCATCTCTTTCATTGTTTTAGAGAAAAACAGAGATATCAATACTAGTATCAATGCAGTCGAATGTTTCGTTGGACTTTGGGTTATAAATTTGCGATAGGTGGTTTTAATTCGAAAATAGCCGCGAGAGCTAGATGATCAGAGCCGTACACGTGGTTAGGAAGTGGACCCAACTCCATACATTCCGCATCTGTAGGCAAACGGAGGCGTTCCAAAAGTCGCAACGTACTGCAACGACTGTAAGAGATGTAAATAATTTTAATAAACATTAAGGATTCTGTAATGAGTATAGTTTTAGGTAGGCATATGCATTTAATCTTATATGGGTCATTGTTATCTAATAAAAAACACCATTCCATATGAACCATGTTTTCAACCTGAGATTAAAGATTTCGGATTGTAACTTTAAGATTTCGTTATAAAATCTATACTTCTATACCTATACTAATATAATAAAGCATAAACACGCATTACTTAGTGGCGTAGGATGTCAGCAATCAAAGCATATTTTTAAATAATTATTTCTATAATAAAAAGCTCTACATTTACGACACGCTTCAGACACGCAATAAAACTTAAGGTTAGATAAATTCTAAAATACCCTCATGTAGGAATAGGGAGCATAAACTTAAGCTGACATCATGGAAGTAAGGTTGCCACGGTACCGGTAATTGATCCAATGTCACTTCAATGTCATTTGTGCATTTGAATTTTGACATTTGCAATTGAGATTTTGACAAATGTAAAAAAAAAATTACAATTTCATGCGGATAAAGCCCCACGGGAACAGCTCGTAATATAATACAACAAGAATTTCGAATTAGGCATACCTAAAATATATATAGTCCACAGTAAGCCAGAAGTTCTGGAAGGTGGTGGCCTCCGGCGCGCCATCAGGTTTGTGCTGACCGTACACTGAGATGAGGCTGAGAGGATGCGTCAGCTCACCGCTGTTGAACAACGCACTGTACTCCCCGCTACCGTCGGCTGACACCGCTGGAGGTATATAGTCCTTACCGTGCTCGGAGTTAAAAATCTGCAATCACAAATAAATATAACTTCAGTTAGCTTTTCATCCTATATATTGGTCTTATAGCAGTTGTAAATAAATTTGTGATATTTTAACCAATCATCTATATTATATTTTGCTTATTAGCATATATGCTTAATACTTGAATATTGATTAATAGCAATTAAGCAATAATCAAGTACTAAGCAATTATTATAAACAGTTTTAAGTGAAGGTAAGCTCGTCGTTTACACTTAACATGCCATATGGAAATTAATGTTGTCACATGTCAAAAAAAAAAAAATAATGCGTAAGAGAGTAATCTCTTGGGATAGAAAGTGCTATCTTACTAATATACATGCGAAAATTAAGATAATTTTGTGGATGTTAGTAACTTCAAAATTGTTAAAAGGATCTGGATATTTATAACAGAGATAGATTACCAACTGCAAAAAAATTACCAACTGAACAAGCTACTAATAATCTTTTTTTTTATCCTCGAGGACAAAGATAGGGAAACAACTATACAATAAGCTACCTTTAACATACTGGTGTCAGCAGTAATTCCTCTCTGTCGACTCAAATACACGGAAAGATGTTGACAATTGTCGGTCACACCTATTTTACTCCAATCAGAATCATCTCGGAATGGAGCCGCACTGAAAAAATTAACATAGTTCAGAATTAGTGATTCTTACGCAGAGTTTTTATGTTTTGGTATTTTTCTACAGATATATGCTATGTGAGAAAAGATTTACTAACTATAGATTACTATATCTATATCTATATGTACACTTGTATACTAGTAATATAAAAAGGAGACACTTGTATTTTTGTATGTATTCAATTCACGTGAAAACTACTGGTCCGATTTTACTATTTCTTTCACCATTAGAAGTGTTATTTAGTTATTTTAGGCGGACGAAGTCGGGAGCATCAGCAAGTTAAATATAAACTTAAACCTTACCAAACATGTCCTTTTCCTAGTAATTGTACGATAGCGCTGTTCGGTGGTGAATTCAGATCGCCCGTCAGTATTATAGGGTAGTATCCGGCTCTGAAATGTATTGTAATTTACCATTGAAACTAAATAATTGGAAAATATACCGACACAATACGACGAGTTTTAAAGTATTCAATTCGCATAACATAATTAGCAGTCGCTGTATAGCTTTATTCTAAACAGAAAAACAGTCGCAATTAAAATAAATTTTATACATTTGCCTCAGCAATTTGAAACATCACTTATACAAGTAACCAACTAGCGTACTCAATCAGTAAATGGTCTCCCTTATACTATAATAAGTATGAGAATTTTACATTAAACCACTCCAACAGTGGCAAAAAACGTCACTGAGTTCAGTAAGTGAAGTAACATTTAATAAATATTGACTTACAGAAAATAATGTTCATAAAATAAATATATACGGCAACTCACTGCTTGCCGTCGTTATAGTACGCGAAGCGGTCAATTTCTGCGAGGAACAGTTGTATCTGAGCTAGACGTAGGTCTGTCCTCTTGGGGTGGTACTGGAGATGAGTGGTCGCGATGACGAAGGGTGCGGGGGCGGCGCGGGGGTTGCGAGGGATGAGGCGCAGAGCAATGCCCACATTGTCACGATTCAACATCGGCAGATCCGGCTGGTAAAACTCCACCTATACATTCGTATACAATACATGTATTTATTATATACAAGTATTAAGTAATCCCTAGGAGTATTTGGCGTTAGAGGTCGTGTTATAAAAAATAAATATATGGAAGAATAGCAAATACTATGCCGACCCTTACTAGGAAAAGGGGAAGTTGATTACGTACAAGTCTTACTATGGAAAGAATTTTAGGTCAATATAGTAGTAGACAGATACAGACTGATTATTTAACTATGTTGCTATTAAAATCCATTTAATTTTGTCACTAATACTGAGCAGAATCTAATGTTTAAGAATGAAAATTTATATCATAGTATAAATTTAGCTAGATACCTTTGACATATTAATTTTTTTAATCATATGTACAAACTGTCAAACTGTTTACTATTTGTTATAAAACTGTAAAAAACAATACATCGACAGCAATAGGCGATAATTGTAAAAAACCTATGGTTAAGTCAGACGAGATAAAAGAGGTTCTGGCTTCGCCATATACAAGTATTTTAATATTCATATCCTTAGCAATTTTTTTTTAAATTCTTAATATTCAAAATCTATTTTTAAAATTTTTCATAAAGTATATGACTAGTTAAGATAAATATCTGCGCATCAAAGATGTTAATATTGTATGAAGCCGTGTGCTTAACAAAATAATAGAACATCCAAATCTTTATTAGACAATTCTGAAGATCAGCGCCTTGTGCTGTATAACAATAGGAGACCTTCGGAACAGTTCAGGATAGTGTACACGTGTAGACATGTAATACAAAAATCAAAATTTATTCAAAGATTGTTCTCTTTTGGGACTACTGCTCGAATATATAATAAGCATCGATAGTTATTTCTTTTTAGATGGCTTTGAAGATTTTGTCGACTCGTGGACTACATAATTTTTTTTCAGACAAAGCACAAAAGTATTGTTAAAATAAATTTTAACCTTGATAACTTTACCAAATACTTTGAGAACATCAATTGTCACTATTTTTCAGAGATTTTTGACGGTGCAATCCCTCTGATCGATGATTATTGTACAGGACTTTTTTAATTAGTTTTTTTTACTGCAACACACGCTGTATATATCAAATCGAATGACAACACTTAGCCATTTGAGGCATGTTTAGTAATAAATCGACTACCGGCAAATTAACAATGGGTGATGATGCTTTGATTGATGGCATTTACAAGTAAACACTTTTTTATTCATCTAAACCAAATTAATTAGGTCAGAGTCCAATATATTAACTACAGGACGAAAAAGTGAAACAAAAGAAAAAAATAAAACGGTAATATCAGCGGAGCGCTACCGTAATAAAAATATGAAATTATCAATGATGTATGTAATAACAAAGCATATTTAGTGAACGTAATTAAAATAGTTGATTTTTAGATGATTTGGTTGTCTGATAAAAAAATCGTTCAAATTCGAAAGGCGTTAAGTAGTCGTAGAAGAATTTCGTACTTTTTTAACAGATTTATCAAACATGAAATTAACTTACATTAATATGATCTTCAAGATGAAACATGGATCGTTTAAAATATATAGCACAGCCATCTTTTCGGTGACCAGTTTTTTGTTTAAAAACACCATAATAGCCCATCTCCTCGAACTTTGAGTAGAAACTGCCTACATGTGATGCTTGAACTTCTTGGAGACACAATATCTACAACAACATAAATTAAATCATAATAAATTGTTACAATTTGCTTAATAATACTTCTATCTCACTATACGTCTCTACTGAAGGGTTTGTTTGTGAGTGAGAAATGTCAATGCTAAATCAAAATGTTTAATTACATATCGGGGGAAATAATAACACTGTAAATAGTATCTACAAATAGAACACATATTGTCATCACTCTCATTCTTTAAAAGAAGAGAGACGATAAAATATTTCAATACAACTGTTATGGCTGTGGAATTTGATGGTTTGTTTAACAGGACACTTACATCAGGTTGCAGATGGAGAATCTCGGTGTAAAGTCGTGTTGCACGCGCATGCCACTTAAGGTCGTGCGGATAGCAGTTTTTATAGAGATGTGGATATGCCTCCAATAGACACTGCGCCAGAACATTGTATGAAACAACTTTAAAATTAAAATTGTTGCCTGAAACAAAAACCTCTGTTACCTGATTGAATTCATGCTTTGTAAAAAATAAATAAAGGGAAGTTAAAACTCATACTACGGAAAGAATATGGTGTCAACCTTATTAGTTTTTTCCATAGACCTTATAACAAATAAAAAGCCGTTCGAAATTTCATAATAATCCAGTTATAGTGGCTCCCCAATGATCAGTGATCCTAATCCAACATACTCCTGCAACCTTGATTAGATCTAATTGAAGTGTGTTTTTCATATTTATTTAAGACGAGCTGTTGCCCGCGACTTCGTCTGCGTGGTATTAGAAAACATACAAACTATATAAAGTACAAAAAGTTACGTATCCCTCGGGAACCGGACATTTCTCGGGGATGAAGCTTATCCCATGTGTACTCCAGACGTTGTTTTATATCTGTGCCAAATTTCAATACGATATGTTGAACCGTTGCAGAATGATCGAGTAAACATTAAAAAACTAAATTAATGAATCCCATGGAAACCGTAACTATTCCCGGGATAAAAAGTAGCCTATGTGTTCTTTCAGACTATGCTCTAAACCTGTGCCAAATTTCATAGAGATCCGTTCAGCCGTTTATCCATCCATCTAAACTTTCGCATTTATAATATTAGTAAGAAGTAAGAAGTAAGATTGTAGAATATCCTACCATCATAAGTATTAGTCCGCTTTCCAACTGGCTCCCATACTCTAAAATTTGGAGGTATTTCCCTTCGTATATTTCGGTTATCGTTGGTTGTCGAGGCCGAGCTATTTAACTGAATCCATGAATTATTTTCATCTTCCGACAATCTAATAACAATAAATTTTTAATTAACTTAATGTTTTTTATTTTATTACATAAAACGTAAAAATAAAACAATTATGGCGAATTACGTAGTAGCATTGTGATAAAATAAATAAAAAAAAGTGATTTTATATAATTAATGTATTAGTTAATTATGAATAAAATTGCAGATAATAATAAATATAAGTTAATATAATAATTAAAACTTACACATTGAACTGTCCCCCATAACTGACATGGTTAAATGACGGCTGGAATGAATCACCCATTGACTTGACTGTTATTTCCGCATTTGAATTAGCAAATGGCTTCTTGGAGCGAAATCTCTTCCTTTTATTAGCAAGCAGCCGGCACTGTTGGCTGTTGTGAATGAATGGGATGAATGACGATCTTTGATTGTATACAGAACTGCATAACGCGCTTCTACAACTTAGTTGTGAGAAAGCTAGTGAATATATTTTGTAAGTTAAATTTTCGCATGTGGGCTTCAAGCATCTGTAAAAACTGTTTGTCAAATTCAGCATATCTATACAAATGTATAAAGTTAAGTTAACATGTTCACTAGTATTTACAACTATTTTATAAATGCCCATTCATGACTAGGTACGAAAATCTTCACTTATCATTAATCTTATACAGTTCTTTGGATCACATATATTTTGCCCTGTAATGTTCAGTATTGGGAGCTGCAAAGAAAAAAACATTATTGTATTTGTGTTAAGTGAAGAATATAAATATATATGTACAAAGAAATAAAGCAATTTAATGAATAAATAATTATGCAACTAACATTTATTGAAAGCCATGCTAGTAGTAGTCCACTCCAAAGCAGACTGACACAAGGGCACCACCATTACAACATTGTGATTGCATCAATAAAATTGTGATCAAGGACTGGTTTATTAATCACGAAATAATCTGTTTACATAAAAACTTTCAATTATTATAATCTTATCTGTTGAGCTTTCTTTATATTCTTTTTGTTTCACACTTTACAGTGATCTGACAATCGCATGTTAATTTCATGCTATGTATATGTCTAGGTGGGATCATCGACAAGCGCTGGTTTTATACATGTACGAAAATAACAGATACAATGTAAATTTAATACAAAATAAAGTATTTACAGGTAAATCCTTGTTTTTTTATAGTAACTAAAGTATAAATATTTAGGTGATGTTAATGGATGGCATAAATCATTTTATATAGGTTAAATGGTACAGATCTTGATTTTTTTAAGTGAATGTAAAATAACAACTTTTTAAAAACAATATACAAGTTACAGTAGCAGTTTAATACTTGTTGTGGTAATTGCTTTTATTTTAAAACAACTTTAAATAGGCCACTTGTTTTTTTCTAGCACCTTACAAACAATATTTATCAATACTTACATTAATCTTTGAAAATTTACCTTCAGATTTAATTAAAGATGTGCTAATATGTAAAAATCGATTTGTAGTCTTTGTCTCCAACAGAAAAGACAATTTGTCTCAATATGACTAATGGCATATTGAAAACAAACATGTGGTAAACAATAAAGGTCAAATACTGACAGCACAAAAGGATATAAGATAGTTTATGCACAGTTGAGTTCATCGACTCTACAACCAAAAAAAAATAGAATAGTTTGAATGTTTTATGGACAAAAACCAGATGGAAACTGACAATTGTTTTTTTTTGTTGACAGCATTCTTATTTATTATTTTTTATAGATATGTCATTTCCAGAAATAAATATGTTAATTTTGTTACTGGGCAAGGTCTAGTAAAGGTTACTGTATAATGATAGTTAATGGTTGGATGATATTTTTTTACTGTTCAAGTTCCCTTTGTTATTGCAATTTTGCAATCTATGACATGTAAACACCCCAGGGCTTGTTACCTTGTTTACAATTCTTTAGGCCTACACTATTAAATATCATATACAATTAAAACAATCTTTGTTTTTGATAATATTTAGTCAAAACATCATAGTTATACCAAAGTGGGAATACTACAATGTAACATGGTTTACATTGTTTAAATCAATTTATTATCTCTTCATGTCAACAAAGCCATGCCAATAATCAAGCCAAACAAAGCCATAGGTAAATCAATGAAGATAACATTGTAAGGATTATAAAATACCTACTAAATAAATTTAGGAAGATATTGGATTGGTGTACAAAATCGTAATTTAATTTGATGTGGAAAATTACAATCTTCACCAAAATTTGTTATGATTGAATAAATATACAAATATATAAATAATACAACATACAATTCGCTGCTTAAATGTAAATAAACGACATCCACTTCTACTGTGAGATATCCATTTATTGCAATAGATAATTTAAAAAAAAACATAAGCATGTTTATTTTTATGTTATATAACAAATACAAACCACACAAACACTAACACGAAAATCAGTTTATGTACAAGAATAGTAAAGCAGCCCAGGTGGAAAAAATTACAAAAAAATTGAGTAAACTCAATCGTATTAGCTCGTTCTTTCAAAAGGCAAACAGAAATACCTTGACAACATATAAATCTACAAATACATTTTTAATGACCCACCGATCTTTCCTATCGTTGATTTTAACGCCAAACGCCAAGATAATTGCTCTGCCAAGCTCCAAACTATACCACTATACTACATTAACCACATTTGCTTATTTAACTATTTGATTATTTGATATCATATCATTTGACATTTTCTCCATTCGCCAAAGAATAAATAAAGGAAAGTAAAGTATACAAATAATGCGCTTTGCACAGATAATATATTAACTTCCATTTTAACAACTAACAACATTGGTCGTCAATTTACTATGTTCTGTGCTAAGTCGTCCAAGCATAGAACGCAACTGTCAAAATTTTGGCGTAATCAAAAACACAAACATCACAGCCCATGATTATAAATCAAAGTTGCTATAAAGTGGTTTAATTCTAATAAATTACTGTAAAATTATGAAGAAACTAATTGTGAACGTCCAGCACCAATGATGGAAATGTAATAAGCTTAAAGAAGATCAGGAAATTGAAGTAATTAAACCAAATATTTTAGTATTGTACCCAAGTTAAATTCGTTTTAATATCTTATTTGCTGATAATTATAAATTTCCTAACTTAAAAAGTCATCACTGTAAATACTTCCTTGTGTTTTACCTGCGCGGTAATGTTTTAGGTCCTTTTTTTTTGTAAATGATGAAATAATAATACTTGAAAATAGTGACAATGAAGTGGTTAATTATTTATACAGCACTTAATTTATTGAATGTGTTTATTAAAATATTTTCTTGTTTACAGCTACGTGGAGTATGTAGAATTAGAGAAAAAAGACACTATAAATTTAGTTGTGTTGTACACAACCTACAAAGATGTTTAACATTGAGTCTTATATCACTCCTATATTACTAAGCTATATTGAAAAATACGTAAAAGACTTTAGGCCAGCTGATGCCCAAGTAAGTAACAAGACATTTAAAGTGCCTTTAAGATTATTCATATTTATGACATAGTCAAGAGACTAGCATACAAATTGATCTCAAATAATTAAGCATTGCAATATTTTTAGGTATCACTATGGGGCGGAGGTGTAGCACTTCACAATCTAGTTCTCAAACCAGATGTATTGCAGCAAGTTATTGCCCTGCCATTTACTCTTGTCTCTGGTCGAATACATGAACTACTTATCAGGGTACCATGGACCAAGATTATGTCCGAACCCATAACTATCACCATTGACACTATAGGTATGGTTCAGTTTTATAGTGGTATTTGTAAAATTTTATTTTGATCTTAAACATTACAACTTGTAATATTACAGAATGTATCCTAAGTCTTCATTCACCTCCAGAAGAGACTACTGAACCTGAAGTACCCAGGTAAGTTTTAAAATGTATAGATTAATAACAAATACATTTTTTGTAGTTGTATGTACTTAAACAATATATATCGCCTTATCTTATCATACAAATTATTTATTACATTATAATGTCATTAATAAATTGTTATCAGAATTCTACATTTATGATTTTAATACAAATGTATAGACCAACAAGGATATCTGTACCAGTGGGGATGAGTCAAACTATATTATGTCGGCACACTATCTTGCTATAATATTATGATGTATTTGTATATTTTATACATGTTGAAAATCATGATAGCATATGTTACTCTGACCATTTCTTATTCCTGTTTACCACTTCCTAAACTATCCTGACTTCTGAACAATTCTTAATAAAATTACTTATAGATGTATACTTTATATGCTATTACTTAAAAGTAAATATATTTCAGGAACCAAGTAGTGGAAGCCCCGCCAGGGTATATGCGTGCGTTGGTCCGCCGCGTTGTCAGCAACATTAGTGTGCGTGTACACCATCTCATTGTGAAGTATGTGCAGGATGATATTGTACTGTCGCTGAACATCAAACACTTGGCAGTTGATAGCGCTGACTCTAATTGGAACCCTGCATTTGCTGGTGAGCAAGTGAAGTAATTTAACTAATAGACAGAATACTTATTGTAAAGAACATATGATTCTGTTGTAGTGGGATATGTAGATAATTACAATTTAACATTTAGCGAAGTTGAATCAATACAAAATTGATTATTAATTACTCAATAGTGATGTATGTACAATATTAATATTATGTTGTACAATTTATGTATCTTGAATATAATAATACATCCCACTAGTATTATTAATGTGAAATTGTTACAGTTTGTAACCTAAACAGTAATGAATGAAATTTGACATAGCTAGTCTGGGAGAACACAAAGGATACTAACTTTTGTTTTTTTAATATATCGCGGTTACGGAGTCATGAGCGAAACCTAATCATTCATAAAAATAATACATGTTATAAGAATAGTAATATTGATATGTTGTGTTGATTTCCAGACATAGAGGTGGGCGACCCTGCGCTACGGAGACTGGTACGCTTGGACGATCTCACATTGTGTCTGGACCGTGCTGATGCCGATGGCAAGATACGTTTCTACCAGGAACCTCTACTTTACAGATGTCAGCTCGACTTTAGGTAATCCTAATTTGCTATTACATTTTTATAAAAGGGTAGCATTCTGTGTGATTTAAAGATTGTGGGTTTAATTACTTTTTTGAAGCACTCTTTCCTTTGTTCATAAATTCTATAATATGAATAGTGTATGTTTAGGCTAGCGATATTAATAATCTTATAGTAGATCAATAAAACATTTTATATAGAATACTAGCGTTCGCCCGCGACTCCGTCCGCGTAGTATTAAATAAACAAAAGTGAGTAGTCTATGTGTTCTTCCAGACTATTCTCTACATCTATGCCAAATTTCATCGAAATCCGTTCAGCCGTTTAGGCTACAAACTCTAACAAACATCCATCCATCTAAACATTCGCATTTATAATATTAGTATGATTACCAAAATGAAAACAAAGTTACTGGTCAACGATCACTAACAATTTTAGTTTAACTTATTACTATATTAAATTAAAACAGAAGCGATCTCAACTATTATTATTTTGTAAGCATACATATGACTATTGCGAAATAGAAAAAAAAACATTACAGTATTACTTTGCTTGCATTGCTAAAGTAAAATTTAAATGCATAGTTGATCTGTTGCTTGAAGCGAACTTGTTGAAATTCCGCGAATATACATAGCAAGTAACCAATATGTTACTGGATTTTTTGGACTTACTTTCAGCAGTATTTGTATGTAAAAAATATGAATTAAAAAATTGTGACTTTAGTAGTGAGCATTATTTTTCCTTCTGTTGTGTTGTTATCAGATAATCAATGTCGCGCGTTAGCTTCTAGCTTTATGAAAGTAATATGTAACCTATGAATGTTAACTGACCACAGCACACTCCATATTATGTGATCTTTACTACTTTAAAAGCGAATTGAAGAATGTACTTCCATCAAATGTGAAGACATTTCTTTCATTAGCTTACAAGCAATTGCTTTATTTTCTTTGATGCTGGCTCTGTCAATATTATAATGGCATTTTAACAATACTGCTCCCGTTCCCCTTGTTTTTCTTTTCTCGTTTTGCTAAGGTTTAAAAAATAATTATGCTTTCGCGCGCATAGCATTTGCGAAAAAACTTTTATTATACTTGTGTAAATTTGATGTTGAATACATCGACAAAAAAACAGTATTTATTTCAATCGGACGAAAGAAAATAAAAAGCAGAAACGTCAGTTAATCCGGACATTTTAAATACAAATAAATACTTTATATTTAAAATACTGAGAGTAAGTAGTCAGATAATATTGTCATCTAAACTTTGGATTTCACAAGAAAGGTATACAAGAATATAACCCACTAATCTTAAACGCATGCTATTCATAATAACACAATCTTTTATAATGCAATTGCATTTACCAAATTAAAAATAATGATATTATTTGAATTATCTAACCTTACTGCGCTTGGCAATAACAGTTGTCATTTATTAAGATATCTATATCTATTTTCAAGTGTATAAGTTTATTAGTAAAAGTTCGAGAGTAGCCCCGGTAGTTGAGAAAATAAGGAGTAAAAGGATAGGGTGGTGGGCATGTAATGAGAAGGGGTTAATCGCATGTAACAAGAAGGATGTTAGCTATGAATGTGCTACACCGGCAGAAGTAGAGCTATAAAGAGATGAATGGATTACGTCTAAGGTGACATGATCAAGAAGAGTGATGACTGAGATGACTGATGATAGTTATTTGGAGTACGAAAACCCGGTGCGCCGACCCTACGGGAGTAGGATAAGGTGGGGGAGATGATAATGATCTATTCAAATGTATAGTTGTTATATTCCAGGGTACTAACTCGGCTTGTGTCAGCGAAACGTGTGAGGCCGCTGTCGGTGTGGGTGCAGGCTCGCGCCGCGCGGCTGGCGGGCGGGGCCAGCAACGAACAAATGGCGCTTCTTGTGCGGCTGCTCAGGGAGCGCCCGCCGCCGCCCGCCTCGCCAGCACCAACACCACTCATCACACCACCGCCGCAAACAGGTCAGTTAACATACTTCGTTTGTCCTTCAGAATAAAAAAGAATCATGCTCAAAGCTCTGGCATGTACAGTCGCGGAAATCAGCGGTGCACCATTTTAGCAAAATTGCCTTGTTTATTGGAACGAATTAAACTCCGCCTATGCCTATAAATAACTTATTAAATAGCAGTGAGTGCAAATATAATAATATAAAGAAACTAGCCGTGTAGCATTAACCAACTTTTTTCGTATAAACACATTTACAAGCTGTGTTGTATTGATTTTTGTCCTGCGTCTCGATTTGAAATTTTCAAACGATTGTAAATTTTAAGGTGAAGTACCGCCAATTTCCTCGATTGTACACAACTGTGCCAGTAAACCTATACAAACCATGGCTTCCGCTGCTATCCAACTGTACTGACATAATGGGGATGTTTCCTAATTTTTGGAATAGTCTTTATTTTGTAGATAAACCATGTAACACGAAAAAAAATAGCATAAAATATAATACTCATTATTTCAATAAAAAAACACGTAAATAAAAACAACTCTTTCATTTCCCCCCAAAACGTCCCATGACGTCACTTCTTTGCATACGAACCTCGCGTCACGGCCTGTCACTGTCAATTTGAAAGAACCATTGATTGATAATACTCGTAAATCTTTGTTGTCTAAAGTTGTTTTTAGTAATGGAGATAAAAATGAAAAAACCAAAATGAACAGAAGGTGATACTTTTAACGTATTAATTACACTTGTTGCTTCTCGTGGAAGATTATGTTTGTGTGTAAACAGTGACTGCGTCCTACACCAGTGTGACCAGGTATAAATTAAATTGTACTATAAGCTACTCTTATGAATTTTGATATATTTTTTTTTTGTAATATTCATAAAATGTTTTGCTCATAACTTATGTCGTAATTATAAAAACACTCAATAATGGAGTTCTCATAATATAAAACACGCAAACTCAATTATTACAATCATTTAGAAAAAAATATAACTACAAAATGCACTGACATTCACTGAAGTTGGTCACACTGTCATGTTATATGCAAGAAAGTGACGTCATTGGTGTTTGAGATCGAGTAATGGAGGGTAAAAAATATTGCAGCGTTTTTAATTTATATTTAATTTGAGACAAACATTCAAGGTCTCTAAATGTTATTATAGGTTATAAAATGCTGTCTTTAAAATATTAAACATAACTTTATTTGGATTTGTAACATTAGGAAACATCCCCATTTGAACCATAACATAATATCGCATTGTGATTTTTTAGTAAAGTAATTTAGGGGTTCCAGAGTTAGGGGTTCCAGAGTTATCTATACTAATATTATAAACAGGAAAGATTTGTATTTTTGTATGTATTGGAATAACTCAAAAGTACCGGTCCATTTTAAAAATTCTTTCACTGTTGAAAGGTAATTTATCTCTGAATAACATAGGCAAAACAACAGAATGGATTCGACGAAATTTGGCACAGATGTAGAGGATAGTGTGGAAGAACACATAGACTTTTTTGTATCTTTTTTTAAATCCACGCAGACGGATTTGCGGGCGAATGCTAGTAAAAATAAATAGTAATTTGTATTTTAGGATCTTCATCGACGTCGTTGGAAGGAGCGCGTACAGAGAGCTGGACGGAGTGGGCGTGGTCGTGGTTGCCGGCTTCCGATGAGTCCGAGGACGCGGCGCCCTCTGTGCCCGTACCTGTACCGCTCATACTGACGGTGTACTTTGACGACGTCTCATTCACTTTCAAAGTAAGCATTGTATCTAAATTTCTACTGATTTATACAGGGTGATTTTTATCGGATGGATCGACGGTTTTATGGAGTTAGAGCACCTTAATAGCTATCGTTTGAGCGCAAAGTATGTTGCCCGGTTTTCTATAGTTATATATTTATTAATTTTTGAACCGTAACCACGTTATTTTGGACATACGATATATTTCGTTTTTTTTACAAAAAATAAGTAACTGTAGAACAATACAAAATTGGCCAACATACTTTGCGCTTAAACTATAGCTATTGAGGTCGTCTATCCCCATAAAACTATTCATCAATCCCTTAAGAATCACCCTGTATACCTGTAGAGCTGTGTAATTGTATGGCCGATATTGATTACTGAAATAAAATCGCTTCTTGTTAGTGCAGTATAAACGTTATTCAAAGGCAAAAACAACGTTCACTGTACTGTGTTCCACCTCAAAAGCTACATCATTTGAACATTTTGAGACGAAACCCGGAACAAAAACCAATTCCACACAGCTTTTAAATGTTTGTGCGAAAAAAAGGTCATTTACTAATATACCGTTAATATATTTTTAATATTATTCCTTTGTTTGTGCAAATCACTCGTTAACGACAAGCTCGTATCGTTGCAAGAAACAAGGCAATATTTCTAAAACTGTAACACCGTAAATTTCCGCGATTGTACATAGTGTATTCAGATTATTTTAAAATCTCAAATTTAATATTAACCTATAATCAATAATAATATTATAAAGAGGAAAGAATTGTTTTTTTGGACTTTTTATGTATTGTGATAACTCAAAAACTACTGGACCGATTTCAAAAATTCTTGCACCATTAAAATGTTTGCATTTGCTATGTTATCACTGAGTAACAAAGCTATATTTTTGCTATTTTTCAATTTCACGCGGGCGAAGTGGCGAGCAACATTAGGTATAAATCAGCTATTTTTTATTAAATGTTTTTACATTATAGATGATGGAGACGGATATGAGCGGGAAGCGTCGCGCGCGTCCCGTACTGCAACTAGTAGCGACGCATACAGCTGTTAAGTTCTCAAAGTGCGCGCCAACTTCGCTGCGAGTGCGCATCGGGGCCCGGCTGCTGGAGCTGCGCGCGCACGGCAAATGCGTCTGCGGTCAATTGCTACCCGCGCAGGTAATTGTAACAGTGGAAATGCACGCTAAACACGAGGTTAAATCGGGCCCTACCACTGTTAGTGCAACTTCGCACTGCAGCTGCAGCGCCGGCTCGCCCGGTGAAATACCACAACCACAAAGATAGGCGTGAAGGGGGAGTAATTTCGCGTACACTATGATGTGTTGCCGGAAACCTAACATTAGTCCATTTTCCCTTCCACCCTTTTTCTTAAAAGAAAAGGTTGGAGGAGACGCATAGATAGAAGGGGAATCATCTTTATGTGAATTTGTCCTCTGTCGATTAAGGGTAAAGAACGCTTCTGCTATTGCGAGTGTCTGTGGGCAACGTTCTTTTCGCTATTTTGGCGGATCTAAGACGCCTTTAAATATCTATTTACATTTGCATCCCACTAATATTATAAATGCGAAAGTTTAGATGTTAGAATTTGTAGCCTAAACGGCTAATCGGATCGCGATGAAATTTACCCTAGATATAGAGTATACTAGAATAACACGTATGCTACATACTTTTTTTAATTCCACGCGGACTGAGTAGCGGGATAAATCTATTTATAATATTGGTAAGATTGTGTTTATATTATATATTATATTGTTATTTACAGGCTAATTTTGAGCCGACTATATATTTGAGCAACATTGAAAAGTCAGAAGAGCCATGGGTTTGGCCAGAAGAGAACTTTGGCGTCCGTCCTGTGGAGACGGCCTTGGCTGTGGACGAACAGTTTCGAGCATCACCTGAACCTGTTAATACTGTAAGCAATTAATTTATTAAACAAGGAGAAAGTTATTTGGAGATACACCGGTAGAAATAGACGTAGAAAGAGATGGATGGATTGCCTGTAAGGTGAGATCAAGTAAGTAATGACTGAGATGAGAGAGTTATTTGGAAAGCGGAAACCCGGTGTGCTGATTCTATGTGAATATATAAGGGAGATGATGAATTAATTTATTAATGTTATTGATTTGATTAAAAAATGTAATAGAAGAATTTTTCTAGGCTCTGAGCCCCTCAGTGGGGGTGTATAGTGAGGTGAGAATAATAATAATAATAAAATAATTTTCCTGTTTTAATAAGTGTTATTTTCAGGAAACTTCGGAGGGCACCATCGTGGAAAGCGAATGGTGGAAAGAGGTCCCTCAGGATGGTGACAACGACGTGCTATGGGTGCAGATGTCGCCCGTAGTGTTTGTGGAGTACTGCCACGACCGCGCGCCGCCGCACTCACACCTCAACCCATATGATAAACCACCACTCGACTTTGAATACAGGTAAAATAGTACTACACTTATCCAAATTTCTAACAAATTTCATGGAAATTTCTTAAGCTTTATAGCGGTTGTACGGCGTTGTACGAATGATGATTGATTCGCAGCCAAATCGACTGTTTAGTAGCAAATGTAAAAATTGAGTAGATCTCCATATGAGCTCATAGGAATCTAAGCGATTAAACAGTTGTGCGATAGTTTAGTCAAAGGTGTACGCGTGCTCTTAGAGACACTATCTAGCAAACATCCATCCTATAGTGGTAGAGCCCGCTTTAACATGTTCGCACTGCAAGGCCGGTTCGTCCGGTCAAATACCACGACCACACAGAAGACAGGCGTGAAGTGGGAGCAATTCCTCGTACAGTCTGATGAGTGTGGTCTCTGGAGGTCTAATTTTAGTCCCTTTTCCCTTCACTCTTTTCTTAAGAAGAAAGGATGGGAAGGAAAAGTGGATTTAACGGTGGAGGAGACGCTTAGCAAGGGAAAGTATCCTATTTATGTGCGTATCTTCCGTTGAGCAAGGGGCAATGCTACGATTGCAAATGTCTAGGCAGTCGTTTCGCTATTTCTACGGATTCAGGTGGGCTCGTTGACCACCTTATAATGTAAACAATCTATGCCTTTGCATTTATACTAAGATGGTATAAGAAATGTATATCTTACTAATAATATAAATGCAAAAGTTTAGATGGATGGATGGATGTTTGCTAGAGTTTGTAACCCAAACGGCTGTTATTTCGATAAAATTTGACATAGATGTAGAGGATGGTCTGGAAGAACATATAGGCTACTCACTTTTGTTTTTTGTTAACTTCACTCGGAC